TGACCTTGTCAAATAGATTGGCAGGCATTCGTGGTTCTCGCCCGAAATTCCAAAAGGCTGCTGAGAATCCCGTAGATTCGGCTACACTTGAGTTCATCGCTAGTGTAATTTCTGGCAAATATACGTCCCAATTCCTGTGGTCGCCTTCCGTGAGCTGACTGATAAGGGTCTTAACGGTCCTATTAGTCCTCTCTGTGGGGTTTTCATATGAGGCGTATGGAGCGGTAAACTGTTGTGTTATACCCAAATCTGAGAAAAAAGTTCTAGTAGCCCGACTGGTAAACTGGGTCCCATTATCTGATAATAAGACTTTTGGTACACCGGAGCGCGCAAGAATACGTTCTCTGAAGGCCTTTTGAAGGCCGATCGTGGTCGCCTTCCGTAGCGATACTAGCTCAACCCATTTTGTGAACTTATCCACAAAGACCATGCTGGAAGCATGCTGTTTCCTTGTTTGGACCTTGGCAATGGTCCAACAAAGTCCACGCAGATGGTACACCATGGTTCTTCTGCTAATCGTGTTAGCATTAGTCCGGCAGCAGCCTGTTGGTTCGGTTTAAACCTCTGGCACGAATCGCAACTTCGCACATATTTACTAATATCGCGAAACATACCTGGCCAAAAACACAGTTTTGATATTCTTTGCTTAGTTTTTCTTACTCCGAAATGTCCTGCTGCAGGTACGCTGTGATTCTCCCGTAATATCTGTTGTTTTAGAACTATTAGCACTCATAATTTCCATGGCTTATTGTCCTCGTCCTGATCATAGCTGGGTATATGTCTATACAGCTGATCATTTTCTATGGTGTAGTCTGCGAATTTCTTTGGATACGGTTTAACCTCCTCTTTTCGTTTGTGAATCCAGTCTGGTTCAGCACACACACCGTCGCTGGTTTTTATCCTTCTAACTGAGGCTGCAGTTCCTTCCGGTTGACGCGATAATGCATCCGCCACCACATTGTATTTACCTTTCCGATATTGCACTTCAAAATTATACTGTTGTAACTCCAGAGCCCAGTGTGCCATTCGACCAGATGGATTATCGATTGAGTTTAACCATTTCAGTGACAAATGGTCCGTTATCACGGTGAATCTGTATCCTTCTAAATATGGCCGTATTTTACGGATACCCCAAATGATTGCTAAACACTCTTTTTCAGTAGGGGAGTAATTTGATTCGGCTTTATCTAGTCGTCGGCTAGCATAGGCAATCACCTTTCCTCCGTCCTCAAATTGTTGCGCGAGGATTGCACCATGACCACAAGCACTGGCGTCTGTCTGCAGACAAAAAGGTTTGTTAAAATCAGGGCACTGGAGTACAGGGGCTTCCGTCAACTGCTTCTTTAAGTTCTCGAACGCGGCTTGCTGTTCCGTGTGCCATTTCCAATGTTTTCCTTTTCGGAGGAGTTGAGTTAGTGGGTGAACGATTGTTGAAAAATTTTTCACAAATCGTCGGTACCATGATGTCATCCCCAAAAATCGTCTTAATTCCCTCACAGTCGTTGGAGGTTTCAGATTTTGTACAGCTGAGACTTTCTCTGTCACTAACAATGTGTCCAAGGTACT